GTAGGTAGGTAGGTATGTATGTGTGTGTATGTGTGTATGTATGTATGTATGTATGTATGTATGTATGTATGAATGTATGTATGTATGTATGTATGTATGTATGTATGTATGTATTGGAGTCCCAAGACTCCCGTCCCTTGGCCAGTGCTCTCGTAAGAAGCTTTGTTGGATGTGCGGCTGACTTTGATGCCAGTGGCCCGGACTTGCCCATTCTGAACCTTAAGGCTCCCTAATTTGTAAAAAACCCTAAACACCCCAAAAATTGGGACTCTAAAACCCTAAACCCTTCAGCTGCAGACCCCATATTTGATATGTCCACAAACCCCAACTGTGTAGGGGCGTCTGGTGGGCTGACAAGCCCCCGGCCCGACCCAAAGCCCTAAGCCGTCCTAAACCCTAAGCTTGTATCTAGGGGCGTCTGGTGGGCTGAAAAGCCCCCGGCCCAGACCCACCCTCAACCTAAACCCGACTCTTTGGGATAGTAACCCTATAAACCCCAAACTGTAGATATTTCCATAATAGTCCTTTAAACCCCAAACTATAGATCATTCCATAATGGTAGTAACCTGGTAGTAGAGCAATGGACCCTCCCTAAACCCTAAGCCCTAAACCCTAAACTGCATGGAGAGTGTCAATAGGTGCAGCGAAGTAGGGGTTTAACCCTCCGGCTTTAGGGGTTGCAGGCTGGGTCAGGTTATGAAGGGTTCAGTCTAGCGAAGGGTTTGTAGAGGTGTTGGGGTTTACAGGTTATACTAGGGTTCAGGCTTGTAAGGTGTTAAACCCCTAAGTCCTAAACCCCAAACTCCGAAAGCCCCGAGCCCTGCTCCCCTCCGCCCTGCGGGCGTCTGCTGCGGCTGCAACCTCCGGGAGCAGGCTCGGCTGCTTAAGGTTTGGAGGTCTGGTTGGCTGTCTGCTTCGATGGCTTGACTTTGACTGGCTGCAAGGGATTGACATTGTCTGGGTGCAGGGTAAATGAAGTGCATTGCAATTAGACAGAGAGTTTTGGGGGTTTTGGAGTGTTTTAGGTGATTTTAAACGCGGTTTTAAGGGTGCTCTAGGTGGTATTAGGGTCGCTTAGGTGGGTTTTAGGTGGTTTCAAGGGAAGATAGGCTGGTGTAGGACCGTCGTTTCGAGGGTTGTTTCGGTGGTTTGAAGGGAGGATAGGGTGGTGTACGTGGAAAAGCTGCCATTTCCAGGGCAGATTTGCATGCATAGAGTCTAGGGATTGGTAAGGTCTGGGTTTAAGATTTAGGGGCCGGGCTCTTTGAAAGGAGAAAATGGAGAATAGCACTTCAGCTTGCAGGCCGGCAAGCCCTAAGGTGTGCAGTCTTGCCAGTGCTTGGGCCCGTGGAACCCCTAAAACCTCCGAAGAAACGCCTTAAAGCACTCTAAAACCGCTTGAAGCACCCTAAAAAGCACCTAGCACCCTAGAAACCAGCACCCTAAAAAATCACCCTAAAAAGCCACCCTAAAAGCCCCTCAAAGGCACCCTTGTTACCGACCCCCCCACCCTAAAAGCCCCTCAAAGGCACCCTTAACCCACCTGAAAAACCACCCTAAAAGCCCCTCAAAGGCACCCTTTTTACCGACCCCCCCCTCGGTCAAAAGCCTCAAAACCCTCCCAACATCTCACACCCCAAAACCATCAACCCTCTGAAACCCTTGAAAAAACCACTGAAACACCTCAACCACCCTGAACACCCCCCAACATCCCACAATGGGCCCTGAACGCTCAGAGGCCACCAGGCCCTCAGCAGCCCAGTCAGAAGCCCAACAGCCCCCTAACATCGCAACACCCCACACCCTAAAACCCTGTACCTTCTGAAAACCTTAAAACCCTAAACCCTAAAGTGTAACCTGTGCCTTAAAACCCTGAACCCTGCACCTGGAACCCTAAGCCCTAAAGCCTAAAACACACGTTTCGAGCTCAGCGCCCGACGAGGCAGTCTTCAGCCCGCAGCGATGCGGATGCCACCAGTCGATGCTTCGGGAAGGCCGACCCTCATGTCTCATAGAAGGGGTTTGAGTTTAGGGTTTTTGGTAGCATTGAGGGGTTTTAGATAGTTTATGTGTATTCACTTATTAGCTTCCCAGGTCTGAAGACCCTAAACCCTAAGCCCCAAACCCTAACTAAACACTCAACTGTTACAGCTGGGCGTCTGGTGGGCTGAAAAGCCCCCGGCCCGACCCATCCGAAAGCTTAAACCTGTATCTAGGGGCGTCTGGTGGGCTGAGAAGCCCCCGGCCCAATTCGATCATCACCCCGAACCCCACCTTTAGCCCCACTAAAGGCCCACCATCCTCCACAATCCCAAGGCAAGGCAGTGTTAGTACAAGGTTTAGGGTTGAGGGTTTGGGACAAGAAGCTTTAGGGGCAAGTCATGCTTTTGCAAGAAGATGTGGGGATATGGGGCGCATGGTGTGCGTCGTCACACGCAGGCACAATGGGGCTGGGAAAAGCAAAAAGAGACAGGTTCAAGCCCAGATTTCTGATCGGCCCGAAATGCAGGCACAGCTGAAGGGAGCTCCTCCTGCAGCAGGACGCCTGGGAACCCAGCCTGCTGGTAGGGCTTAGGTGGTTTGAGGAAGCTGGGCTGTCAGGGGGGTTTAGGGTTCAAGGGTAGGGCCTGGGTCCTTCAGTTTGAGCTCGAAGCCTTTTCAGAAGCTGCCCATTCAAAAATCTTAATACACCGGAACCAAGGGCAGTTGTGTCTTGGGCTGACAAGCTCCTGACCCTAGGGTTTAGGACTTAGATAAAGCCTTGCAGTTGGGGCAAAAGAGACATTCAAAGATTGGCATCGAACACACCACATCATGTTCATACTGCAGCATCAACAGGCCATCCTTCAATTTACGTTGCAGATATTCTTCCATGCCCCACAATTCAGACAACATTGAGAAAGACCTGGGTGTGGACCATACATCCATACATGAGATCTACCAAGCCTTCAACTGCCCTAAACTTTAGAACCCTAGACCGATTGGCAGTCATACCCCAAGCCCACAAAGTACTGGAAGTCTTCAAAATCGAACCTGGGCCTGTGTGGTACCTGGAGGAAGGCCTGGGTTACCCTGCAAAACCCTAAACTGTAAGTGGGCCTTGCAGGAGGTGTACGGTTTTCGGACCCCAGACGACCATTTGGATAAACACGGCTTCACTCTACTTACACCCACCCCAAAACCCAACAGGCCCAAAATCCTGGTGTCCAGACCATGAGCAATCACTGCAGGGGCTCCCAGGCCGACTTCTGTTGCCTATATACATGATATACAAGCGTTGTGGCCTTCTGCCCGATTTCAAAATCTAGGCTTTAAAAGCAATCCCGGCACGGAGGCTTAGGTTTCAAGGCCTGACAAGGGCGAAGTTTGTATTTTGCAGCTCAGGGCTCAGGGATTAAGGTTTGGTGTCGAGGGTTCAGTCCCTTGAGGCCTAATTCTGTGCTTCCACACATGTGTCTTGAATCCTGCCACTGCTCAGGTGGGGTGCCGCCGTGTGGCGGCAGACAGCAGGGATCTCCTTGTGGCAAGGACATCCGGGGGTTAAGTTGTGGGATCGTTTAGGGCTTAGGCTTGTGGGTTTAGGGCTCACTTCAGGATCTTGGCAAGAGGCTTCCCCTACCTTGATGCTGTGCGTGTGTAGGTGGGTGGTTCTGTAGCTTGGTCCTGTGAGGTTTGGCTTGGGGTTTAAACCCTAAACTAAACCCTAAACCTCAGGGCTCCAATTGCTATGCCTCTTAAGTCTTATTTAGGGGTGGAATAGGGGGAGGAGAGTGCAGGGGTTTAGGGTTTAGGGTTCAGGCCCTTTGTGAGGGTCTTATATAAAGGGCAGACCTATTTCATTCTGGCATGTAGAGCTGGGTGATGATGCCATTCACAGCTACGAGATCACAAAAAGTATGTCGTAATGCAGTCCATTGGGGGTGAATGGGCAAGGCTTTGGAATCTCACAGAAACAAAGATTGAAGTTGCCAGGCCCATTAAATGTTAGGGTAAATGGACATGGACTGTAGCCACTGAACCAGAAACCCCCTCTTCCGATCTGACCCTAAACCCTTGACACATCCACCACTGCAGCAGCAGCATCTGATCAAACCAAGCTGTAGATTGCTTCAAAGCAATCCCATCCCAACCTAAACCCTGAACCCTATCCCCTGAGCCTTCCCCCTAGACCCTTACCCTGCAGACCCTAAACCCCACCTTTCGATTGCAACCGAAACCTAAACCCGAAACCCTAAATCCTGAAACCCTCAACTGTGGCCCTAAGCCTATCACTTTATACCCTAAACCCTGCACACCCTATGTACTAAACCCAAGCTTGCAAAGCAGTACTAGTACATACAACAACAACTTCAAGCGATCTCCTGAGTGAGCTCTTCGGCGAAGCAATGGCCAAGAAGAAGAAGAACCCGCCGAACCGCCACACGAAGGAGAGCTACGTGAAGCGGCAGGAGAATCGTTTGGAGAAGNNTTTAGGGTTCAGGGTTTATGGAACACTTCAAAGCTTCAGGGCATAGACTTACGGTTTTAACGAGGCACGTGCAGATGCTGCCACTGCACGGGAGGAGGCGTTGGCTGCAAGGGAGGCGACCCTCCAGGAGAGGGAGGCCCGTCTCAGGGCTCAGGAGGAGGAGGAGCGGCAGGAGGAGGAAAGGCGCAAGGTGCGCGTGGCAAAGCGCCGCCACGAGGAGGCCAGGTTCGAGGAGGAGATGAAGCAGCGGCGGAAGGTTCAGGAGGAGGAACTGAGGCGGCGCCAGCTGCGTGATCACTGGAAGAAGGAGGAGGTCGAGGAGGAGGAGAAGCAGCGCAGGCGCCGGGAGGAGGCTTTCACTGCGAGGCAGGCTCTGGCAGCAGCGGAAGAGTCTTGGCTTCTTTAGTGTGTGGGCACCCCCTCTAAACCCTAAACCCTAAACCCTAAACCCCTAAACCCTAAACCCTAAACCCCTAAACCCTAAACCCTAAACCCTAAATTCAGTTGTAGGAGTGTAGCAGTACTTCAAAATAAACCCTCAGGCCATGAAGCAGCGAATCATTGCTGCGCACAAGCTGGGCATGAAGCAGCTGCTGCTGGAGCTAGCTGAAATTCCGCACACGTCTGGGCCAATTCTTGAGCAGTTTGTTCTGCATGTGGGCGGCGCCAACATGCTGTACAAGATCCTGTGTGCTTGGGACTCTCATTCTCAGATTTTCTCTTTGCATTCCTAGACTCTACCTAGACCATATAAGACCAGGTCTGGAAACAGCATGAAGGAAATAGGTATACTAGGGCTGAGAAATGGGGTTTCCACCTCTCTTGAGGTAACAGGGGCGAGGTGCGGAGCACTGCTGTGGGCATTCTGCTTCTGATTCCGTCCCGACTGCTCGCCGGCTCGCAGAAGTTCCGTGATCTGGCTGAGGCTTTGGAGGTGATCTGCGAGCAGGCATCTATCACGGCGTGCGGGGGATCTATAGTTGAAGGGGCCCTGGGCTCTAGGGGTAAAACAAACTTCTTGCTCAGATCGGGCCACTGATTTTGTTTAGGGTTTAGGGTTTAGGGTTTAGGGTCTATGGTTTAGGGTTCAGGGTTTGCTTACAAGGACAGTGTTCAGTCTTGCAAACCAATTATTGAGCCCTGAAGGAGGATGACCTCGAGATCTCGGCCAAGGCTGGCATGATTCTGCAGGCATGGTTCAAACAGGGCTACCTGCCGAAGCTGGCACCATGCGTCTTTGCAGACGCCACTTGACCCCAGTTCAGATGCTTTGGGCATTGCTGGACCCTAAAGCCTAATCTTGGCCTAAACCCTACACACTAAACCTTGGCTTTGTTCTGAAACACAAAACAAACCCAACAGACCCTGCTGCATTGGCATCCAAGAAAAGCATCAAGAAGAAGGACAAGCAGCCACAGCCCTCCAGTGATTCCTCCTCTTCTTCATCGTCATCTTCATCTGCTGCAAAACGGCCTCAGCCCAGCTCCTCGTCAAAGGCCATGCAAATCCAACAAGGGAATCATTGGGATGAAGGTTTATGGGTTTAGGGTTTATTCCTTTTGGTATTTTCCAAAGTTCAGGGTTTGGCCCTGCTGTAGTGGAGCCCTGTAAATGTTCCTTTAGCCCAGTAGCCTCAGTGGCTACTTAGAGGGTTTTAGAAAAGCATTTGGACATGGGTGGGTTAGGCCTATGTGATTGTCCAGTTGATCTCTGGAGGCAGCACCGAAGCCGAAGCCCAAGAAGGAGCCAAAGAAGAAGAAGTCCAGCGGTGGCCGGGCTGCACACAAGAAAAAAAAACAAACAAGGAGAGATAGAGAGACAAAGGCGAAACAAGTAAGAAACACACACACACATATATATATATATATACACACCATAGATCTCAAGAGGGATAGATAGTTAGGTAGATTGGTAGTGAGAGAATATGGAGGAGTAAAAACCCGCAAATACCGATTATCTAGACGCTCTGCTTTTCGGTTTAGGGTTTAATGGCTAAACAGAGTAGAATCTGATATTGCAATTGGACCAAGCGGACAAATAAGGCACCTGAGACAATGCTCCTGCGACTGGGTTCGGCTGCTTTCTGCACAGCCCTGGGCGCTGGGTCCTGGGCGCTGGCTGGCTGGTCTAGGGGCTTAGGGTGCAGAGTTTGTCTCACAGACTCACAGCGAAGCTGGGCCGTAGATTTCACACTCACACAGCATCTCTCACTCTCTCAACTCTCACTCTCTCGCTCTCTCACTCACACACACACACAGACACACACACACACACACACACCATCTCTCTCTCCCACACACACCACACACATGCTATGGACAGACAGGTCCTGCTTCGCCTGTGTCGTTTCACCTGCATGAATGGCACCACGAACAGTGAAAGTGAGGGGAGCACGGCAAAGGGTTCGGGGATTTAGGGCTTAGGATGTTCTACAACTTTAGGCCCTCAGGTGTCAGCTTGTGGTTGGGGGCTTTCCTGATCTTGGGAAGTTCAGATTGAGTGAAGGATGGTATCTAGTCCTTACCCCTAAACCCTAAAGCCTCTTGAACCCCCGGGAAGCAGCAGGGATGCAGCAGTTCGAGACATTCGGGAGTTCTGAAAAGTAGGGGTAGCGGAAGGGATCTATAGGGGTTTGGGGTTTAGGGTAGTTCAAACATTTTGGGCCCCGCTTCAGAGGCCTCAAGCTACTCGAAACGCAGACCCAAGCCTGAACCCCAACCCCTGCTGAACCCAACGCTGGACCCTTTGCAGCCTTAGTGCCCAGACAGCCCCAACCCTGAACCCTTGGCACCTTAATGCCTACCAAGCCCCAACCCTGAGCCCTAACCCTAATCCAACCCTGAACCTCATGCACCTTCATGCCTACCAAGCCCCAACGTTGAGTTTCCTGTTTTGGTGTTTTGGAGTAGAGTAGGACAAGCAAATAAAGTGGGGAGGTTGGCCAACACCCGGCCTAGCCCGCCCCAACCCTCCAGGCCCTGAGCCCTGACCCTAACCCGACCCTGAACCCCTTCCACCTTAATGCCTACCAAGCCCCAACCCCGCGCCCTAACCCTAACCCAACCCTGAACCCAACCCTGAACCCTTAATGCCCACCACGATTCAGTTACCATCAAGCCACAAAAATCTGAGCCTTCAAACGTGCGAGGACCTGGCAGCCTGGATCTCCATTCGAGCAGGGCACCTCAGCTCTGAGGGTTTATGGGGTGTAGGGCAGTTGAGGGTTGACACTTTTAGGGTTTAGTTACACGTCCACCCAGACTCCTGAAATTCTAAACTATGTAGGCCCGCAAGGTTCTTCGTGGTGCAAAACCCTGCAAAACGGTGGGTTTCGCCCAAAACAGACAATTCTGTCCCCTTTTAATAGGGCCACCTTATATTTCTATTAGAAATATGGTAAAATCCTATTAAGGGAGGTCAAAAACGGCCGAAACAAGCCCAGAAACTTCACACATGGACCCACCATATTCTAAACTAACTTCAGACCTGCGAAGAGGGCTTTCCCAGTTTGATAGATCTGCAGTCGCTGTGCGTGGACGTCTTGCTTTAGGTTCTAACCTCAGCTGTGTTGCCTTAATGGTTTGTTTAGGGCTTAGGGTTTAGGGTTTAGGGTGGATTGCAGGGGTCTGATGTGCTGGGGTATCTCTGTTCAGTTGACCATCACACTGCAGGGGTCTAGGCCTCCTAGCTGCAAGGGGCAGACGTAGGTCCACCAACCAACTTGCAGGGGGCCAGTCGACCAGCAAACTGCAGGGGGCCATTGGGTGTTATAGGAGGTCAGTGTTGTTTCCACTTTGTGCAGTTCTCGAAATCATGGCTGTGCATGAAGCCCCCAAACCCCGAGCCTGGTCGGATATGTGAAGCATTTTTTAGTTAGGGAGGTCTAGGAGTCTAGCTTCCTTATAATGTCAATTGAAGCCCAAAGCCAAGCAGAGAACCTGCGCAAGAATTCCTCGAAACAGGAACTTGACCCTACGCCTGCAGCCCAGAAACTCACGCACCCTTATATTAGCAGACAGTCACCTGTCCTTGGTGGCAAAGGTGGCAGATGATGAAGATGAGCAGGCAGTGCAGGACACCAAGCTCGTGGGTGTTGGCTGGGCCTCACAAATGTAGGGTTGCATGAAGAGTCCAGGCTGGGGGTTTGGGATTTGGGGTTAGGGAACTGGCTTCACATGAGGTTCACAGAGCTGCTCATCTGTGTGCGCAGTTGCCCCTGCATTTTTGTCAAGCTTTGCAGACCGTCTCTAGAGAAAGAAGTGAAACTTCTCATCATGCCTCTTGCACCCCTCACGACGTTTCGCCTTTCTCCATGCATTTCGGCTGCACTTCTTCGCAGCCCCAGGTTGAGGAGCGACTGGCTTTGCCTCGTCCTCGTGAACCTGTTCTGCCGGAGGTGCTCCTCTTTTTGCAATACCTGGTACTCCAATATTCTGGTGACTTAAAGGTTGGGCTGATGCACTGCTGCTTTCGCATGAGACTTCCTGCGAATTTTCGCAGTGTCCATTGTCTGTCCCTGCAGTTGAAGTAGCCGAAGCCATCTCCTGTAAGGGAACAGCTGCGTATTCCACAGCATCCCTGATCTGTGACACTCTGCAGTGTGTGTAGTGCCTGCGGAAGGTCGTTACATCGAGTCGCTGTTGTACATTCAAGACAGCAGCTTCGGAAGGCGGCTCCTGCTGCAGGGCGCCAGGGTTGAACAACAAAAGCGTTGCGGCTGTATGTCGTGTTGCCCCGTGCAGGGTGATGTGGGAGCCGTTGAAGATGGGATCCGGGTTGAAGCATCGCTTGCCTGTTAACCCATACATGAATTCCCGAGTCTTTGCCACTGCGTTCCAGCAACTCTGGCGTGTCATCCAGGATGTCTTGGATTTTCTGCGGGCAGGAAACCATAAGCTGTCTTTCTCTAGAGCTCCTGGCCGGAAGGTTTCCCTTGTCGTCGGCTTGTTCGTGGTGAACATCTCGCCGTGTGAGGACCGGTATTTCTCCAGAATAGGCCAGCACGCCCAAGGTAGTCCTTCTGCCAGTAGTGTCTGAATAGTGGAGATGCTGGTTTTGGAAAGTCGGGCAATAGCTACTTTGCCACGTATTTTGCCAAGTCCTGGTTTCTTTTTGTCCACCAGCCTCTCTTTAACTAGCACATGAGGGTCATCACAGAAGCCACCACCATGCAAGTGAAAATCCTGGCCCCTGATTCGTAGAATCTCTGAAATGCGGCGGCTGGTAGACATAGCGAGCCAGACTGCAACAAGATACACTGGTCCGCAACAAAACAACAGACAGGCCCAGAACAGCTGCAAATCCTCATACTCTACAAACACATTGCTGGAGTCGGCAACTGTTTGCTTCCGGTCTTTATTCCACGGCCTCTTCACAGGCTTGCCAGTTGCTCTCTTCTTGCGACACCCAAGCTTCGCCTGTTGTCGTCGTGGCATGGCTCTGGCAAGGGAGGGAAAAGAATGGGCTGGAGCTTCGGGACAGATTCAAAAAGCTACATCTTGGCACTGGCTCTGCATGCTCTTCTACATTGCTATATCTTCTGATGTGTGCGTTGGATGATGGGCAACAACAAGTAGCAAGTTGTGTCTCGAGCAATCGCAGCTTTGGAGCAGTCCCAAGTACAATCGTGCTAGCTGGCAGTGTAGCATAGTCAGCTGTTTCACCTTTAAAACCTGCACTTCTTGATGGGCCTGTGTATTGTCTGAGCCAAATAATCCACGTCCCATGCGACCCAGCCTCACAGTTGCCTTGGGAGGAGACAATGCGACTGATGCCACTGCCTGCGCTGCAGGCCGCTTTGATTCAGAAGTTGTGATAATTCCCACGCCTTGAGGCGACTTTGTCGACAATATGCAGTAGGCTTATAGGACACAGGGTGAAGTGCCAGTCAGAGCTATCTTGGAATACGAACTGGTCTTCATTCGTTGCCCCTACACGCCTGGGGCGAAGTCTGTCAAGCAACTGTGAGCACTGCAACACAGGGCTACACCATGACCCCTTCCAAAGAAAGCCTTGTTAGGGACAAGTTCAAGCTTTATAAATTGGGTTTTGGGAATCTGCTGGGGAAGTCTCGAGCATTTGGGTTCAGAGGCCAAAACCCTGGTATAGACAAATGCTCCGCCAGCGGTTTGCGGCTGCAGGCCCCCCCCCCCCCCGCAAATGCAAACGCAAATGCTCCCGGCAAGGTCTGGGCCCGGCAGTTGCTGGCTTGGCGTTTTGCCACGGTCATTTCCGGCCTCATTTACATGGGGGGGAGGGGACCGGGGCAGCAAGTCTCTGTTGCAGCAATTGACTGATCCACTGTTTGCGGTGCCTGCCAGCATTTACTCATTCTGACATTTCTGATTTGTCCGGACAACTGCGACCTGGCAGTATTTGGGCTCCTTGTGTACGTTTGTCGTAGGGCTTCTCTGCCAGGATTCTCTAGGTGCCTATGGCGGGCTTCTTGCAAGATTTTCTGTGTGAGGAGACCGACAAGCAGCTGGGTCATCGCGATGAAGTGCTAGGTACCTCACAGGCTAAATCCCCGAAGAAGGCCACTGCCAAACCGCTGACTCCCCAGAAATCGTCTGCTTCATCGACTACTCAGAAGCCGGGTTCCTCAGCAACCCCGCCACCGAAGCCGAAAGAGAATAAGACGACTCCCAAGAGCAGCGGCAAGATCAGACCTCCTTCCTTGGGCGGCCGGGGAAAGGACACCAAGAAGAGGGCTGCGAGAGGTACAGTGGGCACATTCGCTGGGCGGAGGTTGCCACCGACCCCTCACGGAGCAGCCCAGTTTGTGAAGATCCGGGATGCCTACTACAAAATGAAGTCTGACAACGGAAAGCCGAGGATTTCGATCTCCCAGACGGACTTTTGGCAGAGGATGTCAGTTGCTGATGACTTCGAGGTGGCGCTCAACAAGTATGTCCAGCTGCACTGGAGCAAGTAGGTTTTGAATGCTGCAAAGCAGCAGGGTGGAGCCTGCGGCAGTGACATCACTGTCGCCCTTAGGCTTGGGGTGTTCCAGATTCAGCGCAGATCAACCCACGCGCAAAGCTTATCTGCAGAGTTGATGCATCTGTGTGTCCACTTGAAGATCACAATGAGCCCCGTTGTGCAGATCAACCTGCATAAAGTCTATCCGTGACGTCTTTGCACCTATCACTTGAAGGTCAGATTCAGCCACATTCGTTGTTGCACGCCTGTCTGACGCACGTGTGCAGAGATGAGTCAAGTCGCATGCTTGCACTTGGAACCTTGAGCAGTTTTTCGCGGCTCAAGAGTCTTGCAGGACGCAGCTTCAACATGCCGCTGCCAGAACAGTTGCAAGGTCATGCAGTGCACGGCTACACTGTGGCCAAAACTCTTCGGAAATGGCAAGACGTGGAGCGAAGCTGTGATGTTCTAGAAATTTGGGCTGGGGTCGGCTCAGTTGCTTCAGCAGCTAGGAAGCTCTCACTTTCAGCCCGCGAGATCGAGCTGCACCGCGTGCCCGGCAGAACCGATGACCCCACCAACAAGGAGACTGAAGACCTGATGTGTGAGCAGGGTGTTGCCAATGCCCTGAAGGCCTTGATGTCTGTGAAGGTGGGGGGGCTGGTCATGATGGGACCGGTCTGTTCGTCGTGGGTCTTTATGAACTCCTCAAGGTGCTGCAGGACACATGACAATATCTGGGGTGATGTGACGTATGGCCCAGTCCAAGAAGGAAATCATTTTGCGAATTGCATGGTGCTGTTCTTGCTGGTCTCTGATGCTCGCGGACTCCATGCAGTCTGCGAACAGCCGAAGGGGTCCACGATGTGGAAACTGCCGCCAGTGAGCCTTGCTCTGGATCACTTGCAGCTGACCTCCACCCAAACACCTCGGTGTGCTTTCGACCGCAAGCCTTTCGGACAGCGCTTTCTGAAAGTCTTCAAGCTCTACGGCCCCTCATGGATCCTCGACATGTGTCGCACATGCAAGTGCCCCAATGCAAAGCACCGGGCCCTCGTGAAGACTTCTGCAGATGGCAGCGTGACGGGCATCCATGATGCGCTCACAGAGTCGGGTGCATACCCGAAGGCCATGGGCCACGCTTTGGTGAGATCCTGGTTGAAGGGGCTGGGAGCTGCAGCGCCACTTCTTCATCAGAAAGGCCAGAAGCGCAAGGCCAGCCCGGAGCCAGTGAGAAAGAAGCCTGCAGCATCCTCAGGTTCCGGCTGGAAGCAGCCTCCCTTGAGTTTGTGAGCTCGCTCACATGCAGTGGGTGAATCCAATGTTGAAAATTCAGCAAGGGATGGAACTTCCATCCTGCTACAAGCTCGTGCAAAGGAGAGGACCGAAGTGCAAAACCAGGATGCGGTGTGCCAGTGCTGATCACTGAACTCTGACATGCACTTCACTGTTTTAGAGTCCAGGGTTTTAGGAATTTTAGCCCCCGGCTGACAAGTTCTCGTTTGGGTTACAAAACAAGCCCATTTCCAGCCTTAGGGACAGCATCTCTCCAATCCAAACGACCCCCAAACCCGGTTGATGCTCATGATGCTGGGTCTGGCGTGGTTTTTTTGAACCCAAACCAGAGCACTTCTCGTTTGGGTTGCAAAACATGCCCGGTTGTCACCCTGTGATCTGCGCAGGCCACTTTGCCTTGGCCAGCTTGCCGATGTCTTGTGTGCAACAATGTGTGCCGTCTCTGACAGTGGGTTTTGGCCATGAGGTTGCAGGGTGCAGCTTGAAGTCCTGAAGCAGCAGGAACATGTAAGAAGTGCAAAAACATTGCTGCAAGTGCCTGTGTGTATGGGTTTTCACTTGTGTGAACCATATGAGCTGGAAGAGACCTCCAGCTGTCTTGAGCCATGCTGATGCCCCAGCAACTGACCTTCTTCTGCAGGGGTCGTGGAAGAAGCCTGGCCTCAACTTGTGTGCTCCAGAAGCTTCATCAGAAGGCCTGCCGAAGAAGCGTAAGCATGCCTCTGACACATGGCAGAAGCCCAGCTTGAGTTTCAAGCCCTGCAGCAGTTTTGCAAGTGCAAAGTCAGGGCAGTGCTTGCAAGCAAATTGGATGCAACCAGCTTTGTCATTGGAGACTGACGCCGCCAATGACACTTTACAGAAAGTGCACTGTGAGCATCATGAGATTTCGCTGGATGCCGGCATGCTGGGTCTTTTGCTGCCCTCAGATGCCCCCGAGAACTCCTACGGTACACATGCGAAAGATCCTGGCCGCATCGCCTCTGTGCTGAAGGGTCGTTGTGGCTGCTGCAGGAATTGCTTCAAAGACCAGAAAGCAAAGCTTGTGGAAGAGATCGCTGCTTTGTGGCATGGCCTCAGTGAAGAGCAACAGACGCAGTACCTGCAAGGCCAGTGGCAAGGCCCACTGGCTCCTGAGGCTGCAGAGGCGGCTTCGCACAGAACCCAGTGGCGCCTGGGTGGCAAATCCATTTGTCTCAGGGGGCTGGCAAGCTTGCTGGGCACTGCAGAGAGAACTTTGCAAAAGAGGTTGAAAGGGGTTCTGGACATGAGGAAAAATCACTTGCAGTCTGGCAGCCTTGGTCGCCAGGCCCCGAAGCAGCAGGCAATCATCGACTTGTTTTTCAGCGAATTGTACCACAGTGTGGCAGAAGATTTGCCAGAGATAAGACGGGAAGAATCTGCTACTGAGTTTGCTGAAAGCCTTGAAGATGCCTTCTACTGGACGCCAGAAGCATGCCTTGCCCAGAATATCGCAGCACTCCAAAGCCCCCAAAGGCCACAAGGACGTGTGCGAACATTGCCGCCTGGGCGCCCCATCTTGCTCTTTCTGCAGTTCAAAGCATGGTGGGCAGCCAACCAATCAATGTTGCAGCGGAGTGGCTCCCCGGAGGGCCAGATTTGCGCCCAGATGCCAAGCTGGTCAACTTGGTGGAGGATGTGGGTAAATAAATGGAGTTCGCTCCTGTCTTTCCGCAAAGCTTCCCAGCACAAGGATTGCAACAGCTGTTTTGAAATGAGACAGCTACTACAGAAGTCTTCTGTTTCTCGGGCTGAAAAGGCCTCTCTGGCGTTACAGCTTCAGGAGCACTTGCGGAGTCAGTACCACGATAGAATGGTGTACTGGGCGTTACGCCACAGCAGCCAACGACGGTCCGGGGTGGTGTCTATAATGATAGACGCTATGGACCGTGGGAAAACTGTTTGGCCAGCATACCCATGGCACAAATCTCCTGCCTCTCTTCAAGGACTTTGCCGCCCTCAGCTCATTTTGACGGGCGCGCTAGTTCATGGATGGTTCATGGGGATGTACTTCCAGGATGCCCGTCTACATCACGGTGCCTCGGCTCACCTGGAAATTATTTTTCGGTGCATCGACAAGGTCATGTCCATGGCGGCTCAGGCTGGATGTGATTTTCCAAAACATTTACACATCCAAGCTGACAATACGACCTCGGCGGTCAAGAATCAGTACCTGACTCAGGCAGCAGCCTACCTGACTGGCACCGGCCGCTTTTTGAGCGTTACATGCGGATTCCTCGTCGAAGGGCATACGCATGAAGATCTTGACAGGACTTTTGCCTACGTCAATCAGAAGGTCATTTGCTCCAAAACAGTTGAGACGCCTGGTGATTTCAAGGCAGCTTTGCTTCAGGAGTTGCAGCCCATTGCATCGCACAAGGGAGAAGACCTCGTTGTCGAAGAGGTCCGACATGTGCATGACTTCCGGGAATGGCTTTCTGCTCTGAAGGTGACCCCCACCGGGTGCTACATGACCCATAAAGGTGGGGGGAATCAGAAGAGGCCCGCTGCACACTCATTCGTTTACAAGACTCACGCTGACTTGCTGCCAAAGGAGATCGAGAAAATCACAAGGCCACGCCGAGCAGCCATCTCTGCAGCAGAGGATGTCTATGCAATCTTGAAGGGCAGAATGTATATGACTGAGTCACTTCCACCTGTCCTTGTCCTTCCCAAGTCTGTGCTTGAGGCTGCCCAGCTGCCACCGCTTCCAACTCAGATCTTCAAGGCCGAGCCGCCCTCTGATGACGACAAGGTGGTGCTTTCGAAGCTTGCCCAGTACTTGGACTCCCAAGCTGTTGGAATGACGCGGGCTGCTGCAGAGATTAGGGAGCGATACTTGTCCGATGATCCTGATGCGGCAGTACCTGCAGCACCCCCTTTGCTGTGGCTGCAAGGACAGCCCCCAGTTCACAGAGAAGTAATTCCTGTCACACGAAACATGTATTATGAGCATTTGCCCGATGACTCGTGGCCGATGCTTGTCAAATTTCACCGATGAGCCTGCACAGCAGCCTCCATGGGGTCAACACGTGGAGTGCAGTCACAGTGCTTGCCCTTGCATTGTTCGTCTTTTTGCAGTTTGTGCAGTGCCACATTCAGAGCTAGTCGCAGCTGGACCTGCAGCATGTGTGTCTTTTCCAACATTGTCCTTAAACCCAGGCAGTGAACTCAAGCCCAGAAAGCCCCACAACTTTTGTAGTGTGGCTCAGAATGGCAGCAGCAGCTGTGAAGCTGAAGATCAAGCAGCACATCGCAAAGACGTATGCCACCTCAGACCCCGAGCTGAATGAATGCGTCCACGCTGTGGACACCCTCAACTTTCCCGGCTTAGCGGCTATGTTGAAGGGTGGAGTGCAACGGCTGAAGCATCTGGACCCTGCCAATGCGACGTTGCAACGAATCCCTGTTGCAAATGCGCCTGCCCTCCCATCTGCCCATCAGCCCTGGACAGGGTTTGTGGCGGTGTGGCAATTGGGTCTCGTAGCAATCAAGGGGCGAAGCAAAATGATTGCAGTGCTGGAAATTTGTTTCAGCATCTTGGATACCTTCTACGCTGACCAGAGGAGCCCGCTCAACGTACACCTTGAGCATCCAGGTGACCCTGTGAGCGACCTTTCTGTTGTTCATGTTGTGGGATTCGCTCGTAGCTTGGCGATGAAGATTATATGGCAAGCAGTCGTGGAGTTGAAGCTTGATGATGCTGAGATGCTTGCTGTCAGTGATGTGCTCAGCAGCATCTCCATTGTAAGCTGTGTCTGGGAAGCTGCCCAGACAGATGTGGAAATGCGTTTCCTTGCCCTGCGGGCAAAGTTGCAGGTGTCTGAGAGCATGCGTCCAGATGTTTGTCAGCTGTACCGCACCTTCATGGATGCATTGACCAAGCAGGGCATCACTGAGATCGGTGGAGGCCTGAAGCGGCTCATCGAGGACTTCAATGCCACCTCATCCGTTGCAGGACATCGGATATCTGAACTCGAGAAGCAGGTGCTGCTCAGCTTACCTTCTCAGAGCCCTGGATTCCTCACTGCACTCGAGACGCACTGGAACAACTTTCGCACATCAGATAGCGGTGTCACAATGAAGTTCTTTGGGATGGACACCTTTTCCCAAAGTGTCCCTCCGGATGCTCGTGGCATTTGGTCCAAGATCCTGGAGCCATCCCCGGTGAAGTCCTTCACCACCCTGCGCTACCTCATCAGTGTGTTCTTGCGCAACAACAAGGTGCATCGCCAGGCTGCAAAGAAGACTACCAAGGTCCAGGCCAACAAGCTTCGGGTACAGGACCCGATCCTCGCCTGGCGCACAAGTTGCCTTTGGGTGCACTTCAGTGACGAGGTCAAGAAGCGTGTGACCGACAAGGATTTCCTGAACTTAGAGCGGCTGTTCCTCACAGGCTGCTTGGACCGGGAGCTGCAAGAGAAATGCAGGCTCATGGATGGGGACATTGGTTTGGACAACTTCCGCTTCTTGCAAGTGTATACCGGTGTGGCGGTTGCGCCGGAGCAGCTTCAGGACAAGGAGGCATTGGCAGAGGAGCAGCAAGAGACGGCCGCCTTGAACTTGTTCACTGTGAAGCTGGAGAGGGAGGTCAAGCTGTGGGAGAGATACCAAGAGTCCTTGAAGGAGTTCAACAATGGGCAAAAAGATGCCAGAAGCAGCTTCCGTCGTGAACAGGATGCCAAGCTGAAGGACTGGGCCAAGGGCTTCAATTAGGGTGTAGCGGTAGATGATGCGCAGTTGAATACTTTCGCCCGGTGCTCTCAGGAGGCGGTCGCGACTTACACCCATAAGAAGTTCCCTTGCAAGGCCCTTCCGGGGGAGGATGCTGTCATGCCGTACATCCGAAGTTACAGCGCCGACTGGGCGGACACAGAGAACAAGTCGCACGATGAGATCCATTACATCTACGTCGCAGACTTGACATCCCTCGGATCTTCTTGTTCGCGCTACCTCGCGCGCGTCTGCCGCATTCTGGGAGATGGCCTAGCTGCTGGAGCAGAGAGGACCGCGTTCATAGAATGCAGTGCTTATGCAGTTGTGTTGACGTGCATTGTGTTGCTGACTTTGAAGCCTTCAGCAGCTGCAGGAGTGTAGCAGTGGTGGTGGGGCCGAACGTAGCCTCCTACGGCAACACCTACGACGACGAGTCTGTCGAGAAATCCCAGGACGATGTGGAGCAGCAGTTGCGGCAAGACACGTATGACATGAATGTCAAGAGAGCTCAGCTTTGCTTCGCTCCGGAGACGTTCGGCTCCACAAAGAGGAGCCTTGTGCATCCCATGTGGCTCTGTGTAAACAAGGCCACAGATGCAAATGGCAAGCTCCTCAGCCGCTTTGCCAATGGCTCGCTGTGGCATCACCGTGCCTGTGTGGGAATCCAGGCCAAAGCTGTTGCTGACTTTGTGAACCCAGCACAGGGAGTGTCCATCCAGCTGAACACCGTCAATCTCAGCAAGGCCCAGCAGTACAAGCAGCACATCAGCGGCCCAGACCTCTGGCTGAAGGTGCTGGAGGGTCTTTGGAAAGGACTTGCCCCTGGCCCTTTCACTGTGGCAGTTTATGCCAACCTGCTCCCGTACGACCACGGGCTCACTCAAGCATGCTTGCAGAGAGCAATGGAGCCCAGTGGCCGTCTGCCTCGCGAGGCAGTCATCAGTGGGCTGTGGGCGTACGCAGATGATCCCAGCCAGCGAGTGAAAATGGCAGACTGGTTGAGAAGGGCTGCCGACAATCAGACGGAGAAGTACATCAAGGAGGGCGTGCTAAAGCTCCCCAACCTGGTCCTGAAAGACTTTTCCCCAGAGGGAGTTGCTCCCACTTACGACACACGTGAGTATGTGCTTACAGCTCCAGTGCAAGGCAAGCACCTGTCATTCCGCCAAGAAGTCTTGGATATGTACGATGGAAAATTCAGCAAGCTCAAGGATGCATACGAAGCACTGAAGAAGAAGCACAATGAGAAGCACAACCCTTCAGGAGTTCCTTACAAAGGAGCAGGCAAGCGCACAGAGACAGCCAGTGAGAAGGAAGTTCAGGGGGAGCCGTTCGCGGACGAGGATTGCTTCGAGAGCTTGGACAACGTCAAGGCGACAGATGGGCATGTGACTGTGATTCAGTCCCAGATGCCTGAGCTGTTTGAGCTTGTCTTCTCGGCCAAGAATGCAATGTACTTGCATGCCAAGAGCGACGGAGTTCTGAATACGGATGTTCCCCTCATGGATTTGCATGGCGAGTTTCTCACCGGCAAGGAGGTTGCTGGCAAGAAGGACACCGTGACGTACAAGCTTGCAGATGGGGATTCCGTTGCATGCTTCTCCCACCCTGATGGTGAGAGTTGGCGACCCCCCTTCACCAAAGGCCTTGCAACGCTGAAGGAGTTCATCGACTACCTCCAGGAGTGTGGCTTTGGCAGTGTGACCTCACCCTGCCACGAGATATCCATTGGTGAGAACGGCGCTGTGACGGTCAACGAGAAGGAGGCTTGCAGCTACCTGCCGAAGAAGATTCCCAGCAGGACGCAGGCAGACCACTCCAATGCTGGCAGTCTCATGGATTTCAACGACATGTCATGGACCGATGGTGAACACAAGAAGAAGTACATGATGGTTCATATGCATTTCTCATGGGTTCACAATGCAGCCCAAGGTGACTCCTTGACTCCAGCAAAGCCGAGATTCCTCTTGACGAAGCCCCGCCGCTTGCAAGGGGGCCGTTGCTACAAGCTCGCCTAGGTTGCGTGTGCGTCTGTGTGAGCGTCCAAGAAGGGCCAGATGCGGCTTGAGAAAGATGAGCTAAGCATTGCACTCTGACAGCATTCACTCTCGATCAGCAAGCAATGTGCTGGTTTCCTAATTCATTCCCTGTTGCCAGGTGGCTACAGTCCTCCCAGCAGGTCGACCCAGCACATGAGTTTCTTTAGGGCCAGGCGCAAGGATATTCGATCATGGTGGCTTTGAGGAATCAGAGGCCATTTTGGAGGTTGAGGGCCTGGTGACCTCTCAGGGTTCAGGGCCCATTGTGGGTGTTCAGGGTGGTTGAAGTGTTTCAAGGGTTTCAGAGGGTTGGGAGGGTTTTGAGGCTGTGGATGGGCTTGATGAGGCTTTTGACCGAGGGGGGGGTCGGTAAAAAGGGTGCCTTTGAGGGGCTTTTAGGGTGGTTTTTCAGGTGGGGGCCTTTAAGGGTGCCTTTGAGGGGCTTTTAGGGTGGTTTTTTAGGGTGCTGGTTTTTAGGGTTTAGGGTTTAGGGTTTAGGGTTTAGGGGGCGGTTTTAGAGGGGTCGGTGAAAAGGGTGCCTTTGAGGGGCCTTTAGGGGGCTTTTAGGGGGTTTAGGGGGTTTTAGGGTGCTGTATAGGTCGTTTTTAGGGTGCTTTAGGTGGTTATTGGGTAGTGAGGAAGGCTGGTCTAGGTGGTGCTTAGGGCCTTAGGGAGGATCACGGTGGTATCAAGGTCGGTTTTAAGGTATCGGGTGGGTCGGTAAAGAGGGTCGTTTCGAGGGTGGTTTTGGTGGTTTGAAGGGAGGATAGGGTCAGGATAGGGTATAGGGTGGTGTAGGTGCCCATAGGTGCAGGGTGCACTTCAAAAAGCCCGCTGCTGGGCCCCAACCTACTTTGCAACCTCTTGCACCTGTGCCACGTACTGCTGCATTGACGGGCCCAAACCCAACTTCTCTAAGACCCTAAACTTCCTAAACCCTTTCTTAAAAATCTGCCCGGTTCTATTTAACCTGCAAAGGCCCCTGTGTGCCCGGCCAAGCCTCCTCTAGCAGGTGGCCAGCAGCGGCGCCGACGGAGGGCGGAAGTGCGAAGGGTTCAGGAATTTTAGGATTTGGGGTTTCCAGGTTTTAGGGGCTTAGAGGCTCCGAGGTTTAGAGGCCACACGACCTAAGCCCTAACTAGTAAGTAGTTTTCATGGCTCTGCACCCGAACATTTGCTCACTGCCCTCGTAGATCCCCCTGAAACCCTACTCTACACTTTAGGGTTTAGGGTTTAGGGTTTAGGG